TGAACAAGGGCCGTCCACTCTGGTGATTGTGGCATCGCCTTCTTGATGTCATCTAACAAGGTGATTCGGGGATGGGAAATTCCACAAAGGAGCATAGTGTCCTCGTCACGTCTAGATAATGCATCCGCGGCGCGATTTAAGGATCCCGCCTTGTAGTCTACCCGGGAATCAAAGCCAAGCAACTTGCTAACCCAATGTTGTTGAGGAGAAGTGATCAGTTTTGACGACGAATGATCTTCCCCATAAGTACGGTCTCCAGTGTTGGACTGCTCTAGCTAACCCAACCCACTCGCGTTCATAGGCGGGTAATTTTAAATGTTGGTCGGCAAGTTTACGGCTGAAGAAGGCAATCGGGTGCCCTTGTTGCTGTAATACGGCTTCGATCCCTATTCTGGATGCATCGCACTCGACTGTGAACTCGAGATCAAAGTCCAGTAATTGTAGAACTGGGGTGGAGGAGAGGGCATCCCTTAAACTTGCAAAAGCCGCATCGGCTGCGTTGTCCCAATGAAAGGCATTCTTCTTTAGCAGGTTGGTTAATGGAGCAGCCAATAGGCCATAATTCTGTACGAACTTGCGGTAATATCCTATCAACCCGAGGAACCCGCGGAGAGCCTTGGCGGATTGGGGCTTGGGCCATTCCTTGATTGCCTGAATTTTGGAACTGTCCACCGTTACTCCTTTACCATTGATGACGTGACCCAAGTAAAGAACCTGGCGCTCGCCAAAAGAGCACTTGGATCGTTTAAGGAAGAGCTTGTGGTGGCGCAAGAGTTCAAAAACAGTCCGCAGATGATGCACATGTTCTATCCAAGATTTACTGTAGACTAAAATGTCGTCAAAGAACACTAAAACAAATTTGCGAAGGTGGAGCTGAAATACCTCATTCATCAGGGACTGGAATGTGGATGGGGCGTTTGTGAGACCGAATGGCATAACTAAAAACTCAAAGTGGCCATGATGAGTTCTGAAGGCGGTTTTCTCAACGTCTTCGGAAGCCATTCGGACCTGAAAGTATCCCGGCCTGAGGTCTAATTTTGAGAAGTACTGGGCACCATGAAGTTCATCCAACAACTCGTCCACAATGGGAATAGGAAATTTATCCTTGACAGTCCGGTTATTGAGCTCTCTGTAGTCAACACAAAACCTCCAAGTACCATCCCGCTTTGCCACCAACAGGACTGGCGAGGAGAAGGGAGAGCGACTAAGGCGGATGATCCCCTGTTTCATCATTTCAGCACATTGCTTCTCTATCTCGTCTTTCTGCAGATGTGGGTAGCGATAAGGCCGGACGACGGCTGGTTCTGAACCCGTCACCAAAGGGATCCCATGATCGCAAGCTTGGGAAGGAGGAAATTCCTTGGGTTCTTGGAACACATCTGAAAAATCGGCGAGGAGCCTTTCCATAGGTGCTGAGTGCGTCGCTTCGCCCTAGAGTGCATGGACCTGTGGTTTTTTTGCTTTTACCCTATTACCCTGCCAAGTAACTTGCTTCTCATTCAAGCGGAATGTCATCGTTAGGGCGCTGAAATCCCATAGGATTGGGCCTAGGGTAATCAACCACTTTATCCCCAGGACGACATCAAATCCATCCAAGGATAGCATAAACAAATCAACAGAGAAGGATTCAGATTTGACCTGTATTTGGACGTCCTTACAGATTCCCGGATTGTGAACCCTTTCACCGTTTGCTACGGCTACCTGCAGTTGTGGTCTGATTTCCATAGGCAGTTTCAACTGAAGGGCAGCTTGCTCACTTACAAAATTGTGTGTGCTTCCTGAATCAACAAGGATCCGTACTGGTTTTCCCGCTATCCGTGCCTGCAACTACATGGTTCGAGAGGTTTTTATTCCGGTGATTGCATGGAGGGAAATCTCGGGTTCGAACGCTGAGGGTTCATCTTCGTCTTCCTCTTGTTCATCCACCAGGAGGCAGAAAAGTCTCTTGTACATGTGCCCTGCCGAATAAAGGTCGTCGTAGTTGAAACACTGTCCCCTTGCCCGGCGTTTTACCATCTCGGCTCTGGATAAGCATTTGATGGGGGGTGCCACCACGCTGCTTCCTACACTGGATGCTGACCTGGGGACGTCGCTCGTATGAGGCTTCTGTTCTCGGATGGTTGTAGAAGAAGGGGCCATTCCGGGTGTTTTCGGGGGTGCCCATGATGTCGGCGGCCGCCCTATACTGAAGGTTTCGCGGCTGAGTTGCATCTTGCGTTCGAAAGCGCGGACTAGATTCATGGCCGTAACCAGGTTGGGGGGATTTTGCATCTCCACATCCACCCTCAAATATTCTGCTAACCCTGTGGTGAACATGTCTACTTGCTGGTCTGGTCGTACTGATGATGCTCTGGCAAGGAGGATCTGAAACTGGCGCTGATATTCAGCCACTGTTCCCGTCTGTTCGAGGTTGATTAGTTTGCCCAAGGAATTGCTTGTTAATGGGGGCCCAAACCGGAGAAGGCAGTAGGATTTGAATTGGGTCCAACTGTGCCTGGGTTCCTCTTGTTCCAATTGATAAAACCAGAGCTGCGCCTCCTCTGTCAAGTGGAATGCGGCTAGGCTTATCTTGTCTCTGTCATCTGTCCTCTGTCTGTTGGTTGCGGAAGAACTTCTCACATCGGTACAGCCACCCCAAGGGATCACCGATGCCGTTTGACTCTGCCATGTCTGGTCGGCGGCGTTAGTGGTTGCAGCCCCTTCTGGGTTCCTCTCCTTAGAGAAAAATAACTCCATCAAGCGCCGTAACTCTCGTACATCGTCCTTGATTTCGCGTGCCTCCGTGCTGTTCTCCACGAGCCTGTGCTCCAGTTCGTGGACCCTGGACGTCAACTGCTCCAGATCACCCATAACGCCTTGCTCTGATACCAAGCTGTTAAGGGCCCGAGAATAGGATCTCGTCACGGGTTGTCCACGGGGAAAACCTCCTGTTTTCCCTTGTTCCTCCCTTTTCTTGAGGAACCTATCTTGGCGCCTTAATGGTGATTTGTTCAAGAGATCACCAACTCTCCTTTGCTCTTTCTTGACTGAAATTTTCGATGTCTTTATTAAATATTATCAGCTTCTTAAATAGGAGATTACAAGAGATAAGAGTCATACTTTTAGGAAGACTCCCTACTAATCTATACTACTGAACAGATAAGATAAGAACACTGAATAGATAAGACTCCCTACTAATCCTACTACTAAAAGCAGATAAGATAAGAATGCTGAATAGATAAGATAGAACAACTGTATCTAGCTGGAATTAGATAAGATGAGAACTGAGAACACCCAATTACTGCTGCTGCCGGCGGCGATACTTCTTCCCAATAAACGCGCCCACATCAGTATGTATGTATGTATGTATGTATGTAAAGGATCGATTAGGCTCGTCAGCCTCACAAGTCGAGCTTTATTGGTCTCGAGCTTGGCTCAATTACTAAACGAGCCCATATATTAGGCTCGAGCTCAACTCGAAGCTCGGTTTAGACCGAGTCAAATTGAGCTTTTCATGAGTTGAGCTCGAATAGCTCGTGAAAAGCTTGGCTTGTGGCCACCCTTACTCATTGTGGATGCTATCTTGAGAGGGTGGTTGTCTACTGCTAGCGTTACTTAAGAAAATATACAAATAAACCATGAGAGGAAGGTCCCAAATTAGGGAAGGCTGAAGAATTTTGATGGCTGCAGTCTAGCAAAGCCAGGACCCTTAGGAATTGGGGGATTTGGTCGGAGACTGCCACTTCTGTCATAAGCTACTAAGGACCAGTTGAGGTGGGAAATTCTTTGGGAGATAAATTGTGTGCAATGCAACTAGTAATTTGCCTTCGAAAGCTGGACAGAATTAGAGGCGGAAGGGAATTCTGAGGTGGTTATTTTCATCTGAAAAAAAATTGTTAGCAGACAGATTATAGGGTGGTTCACTGGTTCTTTAATCATGGGAAAGACAAGCTCCTAGCCCCTTAGATCTCTGTCAAGATAGGCAAAAGGTCTAACCACTAATTCGAATTGCTCATTTTGATGGGTTCCTAGATCGGAAAACGATAGGGGAATGTAGGTGCCTGATCAAGTGTAAAAGTGTTTTTTGCCTTTCTGTTTCTTGTTTGTCAGTCTATAGCTGTTCGATAGTTTGTAATGACCCTCCATTCTCATTAATGTGAAACATTGGTTTTTTTTTGTATATGATCTCAATAAAATTCCATATATTTGTTAATGATAAAAAAGTAAAAGAAAACCTCGGCAAGCCACCTACATTGGTTTATTAAGTGTTAAAAACGATATACTTATGTTCCAGTCCTACAAAAATATGTATACATATATAACAATACTTGTAGGAGATTTTTAACTTTATTGCTACAATATTAGTCTTGAGCAACATATCTCTGCGTTATTTTGATTATATGCTGTATGACCATTACTCTCTATGCTTCAACTTATTAGCTAGTCTTTTAATGTTGGTTGAAACATTTAACATTTATGGGTTCAACTATGATGCTGGAAAGACATGATACAGGAAAAACTTGTTACCAATCAATGAGCATCATAAAAGTGGTAATCAATCAGGTGGATTTTCATCAAAATTCACAGGAGGTTTTGATTGGCCAAAGTCTTTCCGATATCATGTCTTTCTGGCATCATAGATTTGGTGGTAACTAACCACATTCACATACCTGTTCAGGCCCAGCCCATGAACATTTTACACTGCTTCAGGCTTGGGCTTTGGGCTGGACCCTTCAAATTTGGGCAAGATCTCAAACTGAGCCCGGCACAGGGTTCATGAAACCTTGCCAAATAATCATTTTCTTTGCTACGAGTTAGATGCTCTTTTATCTATTATGTTACTTAAGTGGAAAATTTCTGTATAAGAAGTTGCCATGTTTTGTAACAGAAGCAAATGATACTATCAGCTGAATGATTTCTATATGTATTAGATGCAAACACGAACTTGCTTTTTGCCAAATGATCTGTGATCTCTTTCCAGTCCAAATCTGTGACTCCATTCATCATTCTCTTAATTGCAGATTATGGACATATGATCTGATATCTTCAACATTGAAGATAACCATCCGAAGGGAGTTGAAATGAAGAAAAAACAGTAAAGCGCTGTCTACAGGATGACCGCGGGCATGCTGGTTCCACTACATATTTGCTGATTTTTAAGTTGAAAAGTGAGTTATCTTGACTCCACTTTTCTTTCCTTTCCTAATACCACTTGACTCCACTTTTAGGGGCCATTGCTTCGTATGGTGTGGTGATATCTCAGGTCAGCAAGCATGATAACACGGTTTTAAGTCTGAGAGTGGCTACTTCCCAAGACCTTGTATAGGTTGGTCTTGCATTGGGAAATGGCTTTTACTGGAGAAGGGTCTTCTTCTTTGGGTGCACGTCGGTAGTTATGATTCCAGTCTCCTTTATTTTATTTTCTCATTTTCTTTATTTTTCTTTAATTTTTTGGGGAAGGGGGGAGGGTTATGCAGGTTGGAGTGAGGGATGTTCTACGGCAAGGTTCCCTAGTTTTTGGCCGACGGTGTTTCTGTGGTTTTTAATTAGTTTCTACAGGTCTTTCAAAATTTTTGTTTTCTTTTTTTTTTTTTCCCTTTTCAGCAGGGCTATTGATGTAAATAGGGAAAGAGGGATGAGAGATATTTGAGTCCCAACCATTCTGGGGCTTCTATGATTGAACAGTAAAGTGAAGAAACCAGGTATGGTTCTGTAGGTAGGTCAAAGGAAGAGAAGGTACACTGTAAAGGAGTAAAAATTCAATGAAAATTTTGTCCATATTTTTGAATGAAGATCCTTATTATTACTTGTGTTCCTGTGACACACTAGACAAGTAGGGATTTCCAACGGCTGCCTTCAGACGGGATTATCATGGTCTGCCTTGATTTCCATGTGACCTCGAATTTCATATTAGTTGTCATAGGCAAAATATCAGTAGAACACTAGAACCACCTAATTCAGATAGTAGGCAATTTGTCAGATGGGACCCATCACCCTACGTGAGATGTGAAGACAATTGAGTTAATATATACTTGCGGGGATGCTTTTTTATTTTTTGTGCAACTTGCCAGGGGTTTTCTTTTCTATTTGTTTTGGGCAAGTACTCGTTCCCTACAAAATAGTTTTTTTTTTTAACTAAAATGGATCTAGGATAATAGTTTTTATTTCCCTTTTATTTGTTTGTTGTGCTATTGTTATATACATCAATATTATTTGTTTGAAAAAAATATTATTTGTTGTAATTGTTTAGCTCGAACTTGGCTCAAGTAAAAAGAATTAAGTTCGAACTTGGTTTAGCTTTTAACTCCAACCCTATATCACATTATGCACTAGCTAAAATGACGCACCAGAAGACAGATTTTCCATCATGAGTCCCACTTTTTTTATGGTAGGAGACCTTACCAACTACCTAGTTTTTTTTGGCCAGATTAACACCTTGCATTTTCTGGTGTCTTTTTAGAGGCGCTTAAGTGATGCACAGTTTTACTACCAAAAAAAAAAAAAAAGAAGTGATACTCAGGTGTCACGGGGATAATCGTTGGGGCCCCGTGTGGCATTCGAAAGGGGCGAGTAAGCCTATGCAACAAAGCAAATACACACAAAAAGGCAATAAAATGGAACACGAATTAGCAAAAGGTTATTTGTATTGCAATAATCAGTGGCAAGCACAAGCACATAGTACAGTGTCGAGGGGATCTCGTGCTTAACCTTTACACGCTTATTGGCTCACTCGACTACCTACCTCCCCTCAAAGAGTACGTTAAGCTTTTAGGGGAGTGACAATAAGAAACATTAAAAAGGTGGGAATCATACTACAGTATTACAATAATGCCATTGGCAAATCCCCCCATACAAAAGTACATGCATAACCCACCCATGACACACTTGGACATTGGAATGGCGGCTGTAGGCATGTTGGTTGGCACTTGATGGTGCGGCGAAGAGAACACCTGTTATAGTCTCCCCCACTCAATTTAGTCTTTGTCCTCGAAGACTAGCTTTTGCTTGAGGCTTGAACTTGTTGGTAAAGGAAGGTTCTTCGACTGCTGCACGAACAAGGTTTCTTCCAAGGCCAAGATAGAAGGTTGGGTAGATGGCTAGTGGATGTTCCGGATGGTGGGAAAACCTATGGCTAATCCCTAAGTTAAGTCCCTTCCTGGCTGCTTCGAGGTAGGATTTTGGATGATTCCCGATGGTGGTAGGAAAATTGGTGGCCAAGGCTGGGTCAAAATGGTATTTTGGATTATTAGGGTGTTGGTTCCCATAAATTTGTCCCCAAGGGTGACTCATAGGGCTACTACGAAATTTAGCTTGAGGGATGATGTGAATGTGGTCCCTAAATGGATTGGGTGGCACTCGCTCTCCCCGGTGGTTGTGGTAGTAGATGTGGGCAAAGTTTGACACGGCCTTGGGTCTTCTATTGGGCCCACCAGTTGTGGGTGTGAGCGGCTTCTGCTGCAAAGGTGGCTTCCGCTGTTGTTGTTGTGGCGGCATTGGCACTGACGCTGGCGCTGGCGCTTTCTTCATGGAGTTGCTACGATCACTTCTGGTTGCATTGGTGGTGGTTGTAGATCTCTCTGCCATCAATGGTTGAAGGTGGTGTTGGAGTTGCAAGGCAGAGACTTGCTTCTTCTTGGTGCTGGCGGTGGCGATCATGTTGACCATGCAAGGTGACTGCTCGTCCAAGATCATCAAGGTGTCGAGGTGAGGCGCCGGTGCCGCTTTTGCTTGTATCATGAAGTCCATTCCAAGGACAATATCAAAATCATCTATGTGGACGACGGAGAGGTCAATATCTCCATCCCAAGTGCCGAGTTGTAGTCTTACTCGGCGAGCCATGCCTTCAGTAGGTTTGGCACCTGTGTTAACTGTTTTGAGCCAGCCAGGCTCTTTGGAAACAACCAAGTTAAGTCTCTTGGCCTCTGCAATGGATATGAAGTTGTGAGTGGCCCCTGTGTCAACTAGGGCCCTGGTTGGCCTCCCGCCAATGATTACATCAACATACCTCAGTCCTCTCTTGAATGAGGAGGGCTGTTTGGAGGTAGCCCCTTTCTTCATCATGGCATTGAAAAGTTGGAGGGCGCCCACTCTTGGCGCTTGGGTACTCCGTTCCCCATCACTCTGCTCATCATCACTTAGCTTGGCAATGAGGGCATTCAACTTTGCTCGCTTTGGGCAATTCCTGGTGAAGTGCTCCTCCCCACATATGTAGCAAATGGGAGGACGGCTTGGTCTCCCTTGATATCTATTGTTGTAGTAGCTTTGACTTCCTTGTGGCTGCTTCCCCTTGTGGAGCTCGACTGGTTTGTGGTTGAAGGGTGGCTTCTCTTTTGGGGGACTTGGTTGTCTATCTCCCCCACTCGAATGTGTGGTACGCGGGCTAGCTGGTCTGCTTCCTTTGTCATTCGACACTCTGTTCACTAAGTTGTTCGGCCACGGCCATGGCGGAGGCAAGGTCCTGAACATTGCGTCGTTGGAGCTCGAGCTCGGCCAAAGGCTTTAGACCATCCATGAAGTTGAACAATAAGTCATTGTCTGGCATATCGGTGACTTCTAATGTGAGGGCTGAAAATTCTTTGACATAGTCATGGAGGGAGTCGCCGTGCTTGAGAGTCTTCATCTTGCGACGAGCGAGGTATTCCACGTTCTCTGGGTAGAACTGTCTCTTCAGCTCTCTTTTAAAGTCAGCCCAGGTACGGATAACACACGTACCACGTTCTATGTCAACACACCTTCTGCGCCACCACAACATAGCGACATCAGTCAAATACATAGTAGTAGTATGTACCTGAGTCATTTCATCAATCACATTGGCGGCGGCAAGGTACTGTTCCATTTGCCACAGGAAGTTGTCGAGCTCTCGTGCATTGCGGGTACCCGAATAGGGGGTTGACTCCTTAATCTTGATGTGGGAGGGAGTATGTGTAAAGGAAGTGCTGGCTGGATTAGCGACGGCCCTCTTCAGGATTGCACATTTTGCTTTGAGCTCCTCTAATTGAGCTTGGGTGTCGGAGGAGACACATGCGGCGGACTTCATTGAGGCCCACTCCGCTCTCATTTCATCTAGTTGGGCCTAGACGGCCATTGATGTGGAGGTGTTTCTTCTCCACGTTGCCCACTCATTCTTCATCTCATCGAGTTGGGCTTGGAAACTATCAAGCCTGTCTTGGACCTGTGAGTTGGAGGAGCTTGCTTCTTGTTGGCGCGCAGTGCTGCAAATTTGCTTGAGCGTGCCATTGATTATGTCTCGGACCTCGTCCACGACTCCACTCAAGCGACCTTCAATCTCGACCAGTGTGTTGTCCATGGCTTCCATGTTTTGATGCAGCTCGTCTATCGAGTCTCGCATCTCACCTACGATGGCTTCGCAACGTAGCATGCGCAACTCAACGGCTGCATGCTTGTTGGAAGATTTCTCACGTTTGCTGGGCTTCGGTTCCTTGTCCTTGCCGATGTCATCGGCGAGCGCATCATCGGCCTCATGGGCTGTGGGGAGTCCATGTTCGATCTCCTTCACGATGTCCCTGTTGTGCTTCATGCTGTCACTCATGTCGTGGGTCAAATGGCTTAAAAAGAGCTCTTGCTCTGATACCAACTATCACGGGGATAATCGTTGGGGCCCCGTGCGGCACTCGAAAGGGGCAAGTAAGCCTACGCAATAAAGCAAACACATACAAAAAGGCTATTTGTGTTGCAATAATTAGTGGCAAGCACAAGCACACAGTACAGTGTCGAGGGGATCTCGTGTTTAACCTTTACACGCTTATGAGCTCACTCGACTACCTACCTCCCCTCAAAGAGTACGTTAAGTTTTTGGGAGAGTGACAATAAGAAACATAAAAAAGGTGGAAAATCATACTACAATATTACAATAATGCCATTGACAAATCCCCCCATACAAAAGTACATGCATAGTCCACCCATGACACACTTGGACATTGGAATGGCGGTTGTAGGCACATTGGTTGACACTTGATTGCGCGGCGAAGAGAACACTTGTTACACAGGTGCATACTAATTCTAGATAGTCGATCAGATCAAGGTGTAGATGATTAAGATGGTGCTTGGTATCGATGTAGATTTTCGAAGAAACGATACAAGCTCAGCATTATAGATGCATTTAACAAAAAATGCCTAATTGGTTGGGTTGTTTATCAAAAAAAACAAATTTTGACGTTTTTTATTTTTAAGACCGATTTTTTACTGTTTGACTTGTATGAGGCTAATGGCATCCAGTGGTGCCTAATGGGGCTGAGGTGTAAAAAAATCATACAGAACAATTAAATAAGATCTTATCTCGTTTTTCGAGACAAAATCGTATAAAATGTTTATCATACGAATGCCATCAATACCAAACAACCCATAAATGATTTTACGGAGGGTACACCCGTATAAAATGTTTATCTAAAGTGTCATCTTAATTACGAGGCAACTTCCATACTTGACAACTTTCTCCTTTGTTCATGATGTCGCATTTGCCACTTGGCACTCGCAAACTAATTTTTCGAATAAACAAAGGCTTTGTAAGTCTCTTATCCATATTTTTACATTTTGCGATCAGTCTAAGCAAAGAACTGTCTTTAATAGATGACTGCGGATTATTCAATTCCAACTTATGACGAAGATAACCTTTGGCTGGTTCAGTTGACTTGAATCTTCCTTTCCACCAACTGCCTCTCTTTTCCTCTTTCTTTAATTTGACAAACACCTATCAAACAGTTCATATCGGAAAGATGCCTTTCGTCTTTGAAGTATGAAAACTAAATAAATAATACTGCAACAAGGTTTTATATGTATTCTTATCTTTTTTAACAAGGTTTTATATGTATTCTTATCTTTTTTAACAAGGTTTTATATGTATTAGAACAAGGAGTAGTTGGAAGAAGAAAGAAAAGATGAGTGCAGGCGATAAGGTTTCCATGAAAGAAAAGCAAGAGAAGCAGCGGCGGCTCTCCGTTGAGCAGTCGGCAATGGCGGGTGTGTCACCTGCTGTCTACTTTCCGTCGCCGGGTCAACCTCAGTTTCAGACGCCATCCCCATTCGAATACTCTATTGCCTCCACCACGTGGAGCTCCCGGCACTCCTTCCAAGTCCCAACTCTTGTCCTCCGCTCCCTCGCGCTACTCTTCTCTTTTGTATCTGCGCTCTCTCTCGCTGCTCCGAGACACGGAACGCCTTTAAACAACCCACCCTTAAGGTGAGCATGCCTACCTTCTGTTCTAAGGATAGGTCAGATTGACAGATGAAATTATAGAATTCTATCCCCAATAAAGCATTAGCAAACTAAAAGGGTGAAAGAAATGAGAAATCCTTTTGTTTTTCAAGGATCATAGAGTCAACGTATAGTTATGGAGATACAGCCCCATCAGTTGGACAGATCAGGAGTGCTCGGGCGCATCACAGCATCAACATGGATAAAGGGGTGGCAATTTCTGACTCAACCCATTCCATCAATTAACAACCCACCCAAGAGTCCAAAACCCAACCTACCAATCAACTGTTTTCCATGTTGATGCTGTGATGCGCCAGTCAACCTCCTGGTCTGTGCAAATGGTGGGCTCATTCAAGACATACGGTATCGCTTAAAAACCTGATTGCCTGATTCCATCCCCAACCCGTTTGAGCTCACTCTTCTCTTGTTCTAGTTCAACCTATCACTATGCGAGATGGATGGTAATTGAGACATATGCGGGCTGTTTGCCGAGACAGGCCGACCTGTTGTTTCCAAGTGAATTCATCTTTGCTTCTAAGAACCTTGCGAAACTTGATGCAGGTACTGCTTCGTAGTGACCATCGGAGCTTCTGTTTACTCAGCCTTCCAACTCTTTAAGGGTGTATGTGACTTTGTCTACAGAGGCATTCTCATCTCAGAGGTGGTCTCTGACTACATGAGCTTCATTTTCGATCAGGTAAAGGTCTTTTCTGATACGATTTCATTTAATAAGGACCATTTCTGGTTCTGACTTCTGAAGATGGAGGGTCCGCCCCTTGGGGTTGTTATGGTTTGTACTTGTGTATCTCGAAAAAGCATATATGAATGGGATTGAAGTCGTAAGTCTCAGGGCGACCTGAGAACTGGGGACAACAAAACTGGATGGGTTCAGGTTCATGGCGGATTCTAGCAAGTCCTCTTATCGAGAATATCCAAGTCATCCCCATTTTCAAATCTCAACCCATTAATTTGATTTGCTAGCATAGAGGGAAAAATGAAGTATTTGCTTGTTCTATCTCTTCTTGCTTGGTTTCTATTTGAAGGCTTATTCTCTTCCTTGTGGACAATATATGAAACAGTTGGTGTGTTACCTGCTCATATCTTCAGCGTCGGTGACTCTATCTGCAACTCAACACATAAAAAGTAGTACACCGCTATGGAAGGCATCAGTGGTTTCTTTCAGCATGTCTTTCGCGGCCTTCCTTGTTTTCGCAGCTTGCGGCATCTTGTCCGGCTACAAGCTCTCCAAGAGGATCAGCTGGTGAACTTCTGAAAGCAGCCTGGCTAAAGCTTCTCATCCCAATTCCCACGAATGTAAAGGTCACAATTGCTTTTATATTAGTGTACGTTAAAATTGTTGATGACAGACAGTCGCTTTGTAGATAAACCAAGCATCCATGGCACCTACCAAGTTAATGGGTAGTTATTGGGTCACTCTAGCCTGATGTGCAGATCAGAACTGTTTAAATTGCATCTTGTTATTACATAATTACTGTGTGGACAGAGAAATTGTTGTGGAATGTGACCTGGATGGATGGGCTCTCTTTGAAAATTTAGTGGAGGACGATACCCGTGGGCCCAAAACTCGGCTTCCGTCAGGGTAGGAATGGCAACGGGGCAGGGCGGGGACGGCCCAGGGAGCCCTCTCCCCATCCCGTCCCTGTGAAAATTCCCATCCCCGCTAAATGGGATAAGGTTATTCCCATCCCACTCCATCCTTGCAGGGATCTTCATTCCCCGTGATTTTTTATAATGTTAATCATTTTGTTTTTGTTTTTTATTTTATTTAAAAAATAAAAAAAAAATAATTAAAATTTATAATTCTATTAGAAAGATGCAAACATATTCAACCATATTTTTAAAAATATTAATATATAGATATATGTGTACATATAAACATTAAAACATATATAACATATGCATACATATATACATATATATTAGTGGGGACCCCATGGGGCGAGCGGGGAGTACTCTCCCCGTCTCTGCTAACGGGGATGAAAATTTCCCCATCCCTACGGGGGAAATCATCCCCATCCCTGCCCCATTCGGGATAGATCGCCATGGTGATTGGGGAAATGGGGAAAATTGCTATCTCTACATCAGGGCAAGCTCGTGCCAACACCATTCCAACTGTCCTTTTCAACCTTGCTTTGGGAAGGGAATATCTCTCTCCATGAAATAAAGCACAGAAGTAGGGAGATGCAAAGTTGTAAAGGCTGCTGAATGGGTTTTGCCCTGACCGAACTCAGCCAAGCCAAGCCAAGCCAAACCATTTTCTCTTCCCAACTAATCTACCAACACTTTTGTTGCTTTGTGCATCTCTAGGTGGGTCATACACTTGTACTTCTAACTAGGGGTGCAAATTGGGCCGTGTTAAGGCTACATTTAGCATTTCTTATTTTAAGGACTTATCTCCTTTATACATTTAAAATGTTCTTTATGAACAGTGAATTTTTAATAGCAAAAAGGAGACAAATAGTTAAAATAAAGAATGCCAAATCCCAAGGTTATGAACCCCAACCCTAATCCTAATCTATGGCTGTTTATGAGACCCATCAAACTGACCAATTCAGCCAAGTTGGTTGGTTTTCAAACAATACCGGTTAATTTTAGTGCCTAAAATAAAATAAACCACGAAATCAGGTTGGTTTTAGTTTGGTTGTGTATAAACCGACTATATATATAGCCATTTTCTTTCTTTTTAAAGTGAACTATATATATAAGATCTAGGCTCTTACCCCCCCCCTCAAAAAAATAAAATCTAGGCCATGAAAATGCCCTCCTAGCATATTAAATTAATTTCAACCATCCATACAAAAAAATTTCAGCCAATCTGGGCTATCGAGTATCAAATACACCCAAAAATCTATACCATGAAAGCGGTCTTTTTGGAGAAGAGAATTAAGAATGTCCGTATATCATCAGTCAATTAATTCCAACCACCCAAATTATATATGGAGATTTAATTGATTTAGCCATGTAAATGAACTAACTCAACCCAAAATCTAAGCCAATAAATTATTCTTCTGAAGCTAATTAGTTAATTTCAATCATCTAGCTGATATTAAGATTTCAACTAATCTAATTCTAAACCACCTAAATCATACCAAATTAAACCAAGGATCTAGTTTGTCTGTTTGATATCCACAAATTAATTATTGGATTATCAAAGTGAGGTATTCCTAATTTTCACAAGATGGAATACATAATTTTATCAATAATTAAAAAAATGCGTAGACAATTTAATGTTTTGTCAAGAATTTAACATTATACAAAGCTATAAGAGGCCAAGTGTAGGTATATGTTGATCACCATAACTGTAATAGCATAGAAGGTGCTCAACCGATGCCACAAAGGTACCCATGACGAGTTCACACTCGGTACAAATCTGCAATGAGCTCTGAGCCTGCACAGACTTGTGATGAGCTCAAAGCCTAAAATGAGTTTGTGATGAGCTTAGGGCCACCACGGGCTTGCAATAGACCCAAAGCCACAATACTAAAGACAAACTCAATGCCATCGCGAGCCTACGATGAACATAAAGCCATCGTGAGGCTACAATGAACATAAAGCCATCGTGAGGCTACGATGAGATCAGATCCATTGCAAATCTACGATGAGCTCATAGCCACCGCTTATCAATGACGAGCGAAAGAACACGACAAACATAAGCATCACATCAGTCTAGGAGACTCGGAAAAGGAAGTAACATACGTGTATTATGAGAATCCTTAGATGGAAGGAAACATCGTTCTTGAGATATCTCATAAGACACGTGGCGAAACCCTAGCGGTGTTCCCTAACAACTGACACCGAATCAAAGATCCCCTTTCCTTGTGGGAATAAAACACTTTTAGCTCATTCCTTTCAAGACCTCGGGATCTCTCCCTATAAAAGGAGGTCTAACTCATAATGAGAGGAAATTCTGTCAATCATAGACTTTAGCCTACCCTTTGCCCTCAGCTTTCGTCCTTCAAGGAGACCCGTACGTAGCCTTACCACACCACTCACACCAAGTATCAAAAACAATAATAAAGAGGATTATCATTTTCACTCTCACCCACAAATTATAAGGGCCTACCTCATTAAAATATTACAGGGTCTTTGTAATTTACCCCAAGTAAAATGCGATGATTTGAAAATTAAATTGAAATTCAACATATAAGAGTCCAATTATGATCCATTTTCCAACTAAGAGATGGTGTGGAAGCTGATTTGTTCTAGTAGAGACATGATTCAATAGACTGGACCAGCCGGTTGAAGATATTGAACCATGACTCGAGGCTTTGACTGATTCGGTCATGCCCAAATAACCAGACTTGCTTAGAAACTGTTGAGAATCGGCTGACCAGCCGATTGAACCAGAAAACTGGTGAACCGGTCCCGACTTCATAAAACCACCTAGGTCCATACATAAGTGAAATTTTAAATTGTTATTATCAAAATTTAAACCCGAGACCTCTTATTTTCATAGATTACTTAATTATCACTAATCCACCTTTTTACTAATGCTAATTAATGACTATTTATTATACACATTACATTATTATGCATGTATTTTAAAGAAAATGTAAGTTAAAAGGCTTGAACCCTAGTCATTTGTTTTAGAAATTAAGAAACTTACTGATGATGCACAATCCGGCCGATCTTAGCTGTCAACGATCTTGCCTCTGAACTGAGTGGTAGGGACCTAAAACGGAAGGAGAAGAGAAGCTCCGGGGAGAACCCGGCGTAAGGGCTCCGAAGCTCAAGTTAGAGTCTTTCAAAGGCAAGGTAGACCAGATAGCGCAAAAGTTAGCATACCTCGTTCCTGGGGGGTAGGAGCCT